TTTCCCTACTGACTGAATCATTGCAATTATTCTACATGGGCCATGCCATGCATGGTCAAACTCTACACAAAATTCCCATACCTATGCAATATAACATAAGATGCTACAACACTCCAAACCATTGCATTCAGTTCAACAGATGAGTGGTAAGACAGCTGTGTTCCTAAAAGGTCTCACTGCTTCAATTTCAAGGTGAAGATTATCTTGTGACATGTATGGATAAGCTCTACTGAAACTGTACAACCCTGCATGCTATCAGGCTGTGGTCTATGTTTCAGAAGGCCTGTTTCGTGGCAGTCAACATGAAAAAGTGTGGTCCATAGAGAGCATTAGCTGCTTGGTACGACTCAAGGCATCAGCTCTAATCTGTGGATCCCAGTGAAGTTGGCATTCTGGTTATTTTAAACTCAAGAGTTTGTCAGAGCAATGCAATCAACTGGTGCTCAGGGACTTGGAAACTAGAGGCAGAGGATTTGCAACAGACATCCTGCTTTTGGAATTCAAGTCTACTGAAGGAGCAGAGGCCAAATACACTGGCCTTCAGGCCACACGGCAAAGCCCATGTATTTATTCATGTATTCCCTGCAGAAAAGAGCTATAGCAGTTGATGAGTTTGTGGTTTGAGATAGCTTGCCAGTTTATTTTAATAGATCACAAAATTGAGAATATGCCCAAACACACATTTCACAAACATTTTCATACAAACAGTTTGAGCACGCTTCAAAGCAAGTGCTATTTAGACAAAGGGAGCAAGTCCACAAGTCTCTCGGGGCTTGCCGTTTGTCTCCACAGACTCCAGACTACAGTGCATTTATTTATGCTGGGCAGAGCTCCAGCTCGAAGAGCTATTTGTTTCTGATTGAGCCCTGACTGTGTAGGGCCTTGAAAAGAACAGAGTAAGTTGCTTTCTCTGCCCCAAACACACAGCCCAAGGTCTATGGAAGGACAAGAAAGGCAGTGAGCAGAAGGTAGGAGCTACATCTTCCAATCTCACCCTCCTTCACCCCTTTGGAGCTGCTGGAGCTGCACAACGACAAAGATGGACAGAGCTACTGGCCTTCAGTCCCCTCCAGCCCTGAACCCAACATACCTGGAACCCAGCACAGACCCCACATAATAAGCCTGAATGAGTCCACCCCAGTACTACCACCAACAGAACAGTTTTCTGTGAGTTTTCAGTCGCTACAAGAAAAGAACAGATTGCTTTTGGCAGGTGTCAGTTACTGCCAAGAGCTGGAGTTTGGGGCTCATTTGCAGGAAGAAACAGCCTGAATAACTTCTTGTGGACACTTATTCCAAAGACTGCCTCCAACTTCACTTTTAGAAGTGGTTTAAGCTGAACCACAAAGACACTCTTTGCGTAGAATAAATGTCCACATGATGTTAACACATTAAATAGTTTAACTTCAAGTTCACTCCCCAGCTTGTTTTGCAGACAAATCTTAAGCTCTTGAACAACCTAAGGAGTTTCGTTTGACAAACTCTACTTTTCATAGAAGAGTCAATGGAAAGCCTCAGAGAGCCACAGTAGACAAAAAACACCAACAAAAAACAACCCCCTGTAATGAAGGAATTAAATCCCTTACCCAGTGTTTTTCCTTCTTCTTAAGGGGATTTTCCACCAAATCTTCCACATGCATTTTTCTCAGACTCTGAGAAGCAAGCACATAAATTCATTACCTTGCACTGTTCAGCGACTTCCTGTCTATCTGTATAAATTACTAATGTTGATCTGAAACACTTAGAAGTGCCAAACACGCAAACTTTCAAAAGCTACAATAAATTACTAATATGGTGCAGAGACAGTAGCCTTTCATATCATGAAAATAGACCTTCGGCTAGGTACTGCACTTCTAGTGCAATGGTAATGTTACTTTAGAACTAGGTCAGTGTGTGAAGGTAGAGGGAATAGCAGCTAAGAGATGATCCCAAATGTACCTCTTTGGAGGTCTCGATGATGGTCACAAGCTTCTGAAGTTCCATATATTCAGTAAACAGGCTCCTACAGGTCATTTCATAATGGCTGGTAGCCTCAGAAGGCCTGGACAAGTGCTCTTCACAGGCCTGAAAGAAGTGCTGCTATTTAAAAGAGATCTTGTAATGAAAAAACATGACAGGATGGAATAAAGCAAGATACAGTTTTCTCAACCTATGGTTAAAAACCACCTTCCTCTCAGCCCCTTTCTGTCTTTTTTCCTATCTTTTTTATCCTCAGATACAGAGGAAAAAAGCAGCAAGCTGTCCAATCTAACATGTACAATAACATAAGTAGCTGTGTAATTTATGTATCTTGCTCTCCATAAGGTGCGCTTTGAAATAAGTACCTGGAAGGAGAAGCCTCCAGGGCAGACAAAGCACAACAAAACACAGCAGGTGGAACCACTTGCCCTGTTCAGAGTGAGGCATGGGAAGTTTCTCATACCTTTAAATAACAGTTGAGAGGAAAATATTTGTTTGAGTTGAGACATTCAAATCACAGCTCTTGCAGAAACTGTATACTATGGACCAGTGACCATAGTCTTCTGCGTATCAAATTTGGAAACTATGTACAGAAGGACTTCATAGTCAGAGCTGTGAGAGTCATGCTCAGTCTTCCTTCTTAAGGATGCACCTAAGACGGTTTTGCCTTCCCCTCTGATGGGAAGGCCACATTCTCCCTCTATGTCCTCCAACAAGCTACCCAGCTTTTTCCTGGAAATGGTCTTGCCCATTGGTTAACAGCATTGTTCCATCAACTCCTCTAAAGCTGCTATATTTACTAAGTAGGAAGAAGGAAACCTTGATAACATCCTGCAGGGTGACTGCTGGTTTCATTGCCTCATCATCCAGTTTCAACATGAGGCACAACAGTTTCTCCAAAGGATCACTCAGTTCTCGCTCTACTTGGCTGTCGATTCCCCAGTCCAGGGCTTCATAGATCACCACTCCCAAGTACTCCAGCAGCTGCAGACAGAGACCAAGGAAGCAGTGCAGCAGAAAGTGTTGTGGAGAACTTCCCAGCCCTCATTTCCCAGCCATGTGCATAGCCTGTGCAGCCCCTTAGGGTCGAGCACATCCCTCAGGATAAGAAGTGCCCAAAAGACAGCTAGATGCATGTTGGGTAGCCTGAGACACTCTCTGAATAAGCTGGTTTAAGATTTTTAAATGGCCTTATCTAGCACCTCTAAGTTATCTGTTATTAAGACAAAAAGACTGTGGGCTACTCCACAATAGGCAGCATCTGTGCATGTTGTTTCCCAGCCCCATTGTCTTGAGTTCAGACCTAGCATTTTGTTTCATTTTCCAGACTGCAGGAAGCAGAGTCACTCTCACGGGGCACAGCAAATTTAAGCACCTCGATAGTTTCCAACACCTAGACATCTGCATCTCCTGAGCTGGCCTTCTACTACAGCAGGATTATAACTGCACGCGTATGAAGGTGAAGACACAGACTTACCTTGTCCTCTGACTGCTGAATGCTTCCAACATCTGAAGGGGCGGGGGGGGAGGGAAGAAGAGGGGAGGGGGAGAAAGATAACTGCAAAACAAGTAGAATGCTTGGTAATACAGAAACAAACCCTTCTGACTCAGGTCAGTCCCACCTGCGGAAAGTAGGCCTATATTGGGGTACTCCTGGAAAGCAACACAGGATACTCTCCTTATTGTACGTACTAGCCTCAGACTAAGTGCTACTGGATACTTTTTTTTTTTTGTTTGCCAATAGATATCTAACCACAAGGAATGCGCTGGGTCTTTGTCTTCATTCTCTATTACCCACTCTGGTCCCTGAAGAGTCAGCCCAGCACTGACCTCTGCAACAGTGCAACTAAGCAGTGCATAAGACAAAGCTTGCTGTAGCTTGCTGGCTACACACAGTGACAAAAAAGGGAAACTCACTCACAGATCTGTCATGAGAGTTATTATAACAAAGGAACCACATATTCGAAGATGAACAGAGCAGGACATACAATAAAGCCTCAGACCATTTATTTTAAATAATGGTAAGTAGTAACAAACTTTCATCCCAGCTATTCCCTAATGACTCACTAGAGCTCTATTATAAAAATTGGTAGGCCATACATCTGTATTACCACTTATCTACAGGCCTTTGAAATGAAGTATAGGCAGCAGAACATCTTTGTGACAGCATACAGAGAGAGGAAGGGGGAAAAAACAAAAGGCAGGGAAAAAAAGAATTCCCCACTTTGTCACCCCCTTTCAGCCTGATATAGGAACAGCCCTTGGCAACCACAGCTACCTATGCTCTTACCAGACTTGTGGTACACCTTGAAGGAAGCAGTACCATCAGCATGGATAAAGATGCTTCCAGGACCTTTTAAAAACACAGAATGGAGTGGTGGGTACATCCCCTGAGCCAACTGCTCCATTTTACGGCAACACTGAAAACAGATAGCCCAGGCTTGCTCCTCTGTTATAGGATGTCCAAAACACCTCAGAACTTCAGCTAGAGAGACCTTTGTGATCCTCTGCTCACACTGTGGAGACTCCATTATCACCTTTACCTCTCATCTCCACTCTTAGCCTAAGACGCTTAACACCCTCCCTGCCCAGGACAGACAAATGCTCATAGCAGCCTTTTAGCAGTTCTGCCTCCTAGTTTGCTCCCACCTCTCTTCCCTACAGGTGCAATCATGAATGCCAATTTTGCTCCATCTTTTTAAAGGGACACCACTTTAATCTGTACTTGTATAAGACACATTGAAAGAAAACAGAAAGCATACAACAAAATGGACTCTAAAGAGAAGGTAATACTGTACAAGAATCATGCTCAATTTAACTCCATTGTTCCTAACAAATATATTAATTGGAATACCATTGTTGGCAGGCAAGAAATCCAGGCAGAGAGGGAAGGAGGCAGGAAATAATGTCTTATACTCAGGGGAGAAGAACTCGCAGAAGATGACCAAAATTCAATCCATTTGACGGGAAACTATTCTAGGAGCACTAATACATTACAGCAATCAACTCCACAGGGCACCTGCATCCACCACGGCCCCCACTGCTGCCTGGCCTTGACCATTTGGCCCTCCCTCAGCAAATCCCAACAGCTGGGGCTGGGAGCAATGCACGCAGGGGCGAAGCAGGCCGGGTGGGCACCCAGGGCAGGGCCGGTAAGGCCCTTCCTTCTTCAAAATGCTGATGTGAATTGCTACTGGTGTGAAGTCAGTTACCCAGCTTTTTTTGCGCTTTGGGCTCTGTGGGCGTGCATGTGATGGGAGGGGACAGTCACACGGCTTGCGGCACATATCATCCCCTGAAGGACTCCATTGCTGCCGCAGTGCCTGCAGCGTACCACAGGGAACCTTGGCTGCTGCTGTGCTGACTCTCAACAGTCCAAAGTCCCCCCCTGCGAAGAACTGCAAGGTTTAAAAAGCGTGAATAACGTAATTTATATTTCTTTCCCTTCTTGCTCATGACATTTTGGGAATGCAGCATGTCAGTCAGGCCCTGGACCTTGGCGAGGCGTCCAGGCCAGTGTGCCTTGGCATCATCAGACCATGCGGTGGGTGCTTGCAGGCACCACGCCTCACTGTGGCTGGGGGGCTCACAGCTGGGTGGTGTTTTCTGGGCTGCCTCACTGCCTGGACTCTGCCCCAGGCATCAGCCTGGCCAAGATGGGTGGCTGGGCTCCCGAGAGGGGCTTTCCCACTCCTGCCTGCAGCGGTTCTGCCAAGTGGGAGGCTCAGAGCTCCCCTCAGCCACGGATGGCAGGGGAAGCCCAGGGGCTCCCCTCCCGCGGCTCTGGGGGCCAGGCACTCAGCACCGGCCGGGGTAAGCTGTGTGGGGAAGAGGTGACGGCAGCCCAGGCACCGAGGACCCCAACAGCGAGCGC